TTTTGATGTGTTAGTTCCGCTGTTCAAAAGGCCTTATAATCGGAGACAGAAATCCGTCGGGTAAGGTGGGATGTGACATTTTCAGGGTCGACCATTCCTAACCCCTTCCTTCCGTTGTGAGAAGGCAGCATCTACGTAGGTTCTGGTTGTCCAAGGAAAACAATTTACTGCTGCCACACACCTCTATAGTCAGCAGTACGACTTTGCCCTCGCGTCTTGAGTTGCCGCTTTTAGTCTCACCGTTCTCCAACTGACCAGCATGGGATAGTAGGACTTGAACAATTATTCCGACCAATATAGCTCGATTGAGTCATCACGATGGACAAGCTCGACCACTACGTCATGGTAGCAGCAACTGTCGTGTGTGGAAATAGTCTAGAATAAAGGTTGGGACATCTAAACCAAAATATAGCATCAGTCCATGAAGTCATGTTAATAGGTACCGACTATCTGGTTAGTGTCCGCGTGATTATCGTAACCAATGGTTAGTGACTATGAACTATAGTTCTCACACTTGCTGAGATCTCATTTCTTTGGTGTTTTGATGAGTTATCCTTCTTTCTAATCTGTTGGTAATTGTTCTTCCTGCCCCGTTCATAATTGATAAATCTTCCTCTCAAACCTCCTGAATAGAACATGGAGCGTGTTTGTAGTCTCTTCTGTACCTGACTTTATTGGTTCAGCTTGTATGTTGTCAAGTTGTGCTGCTTTCTCACACCTGATTTGTCTGATGTCCATCCTGATTTCTTCGATCGTCGATGGAATGACATCTATAGGAAAGTTTGTGTATACTGCCTCAATGTCCGGTGGGTTCAATGTGGTCGGTCTATTCAAGAGTTCTCCAGTGTTCCACCCACCTGTTCCTCTGTTCTTGGATATCAGTGATTGGCTTTCCTTTTTTATTCTTGACCGGTCTCACTTGTTTACTGTATTTCCCATCTAGTTTCTCCGTTGTGTCATATAGTTGTTTGATATTTCCTCCCCATTCAGCTTTTCCTACTATCGCTGCTAAGTCTTCTATGTATTTCTGCTTGTCGGTTCCGATTCTCCCCTTCATCTGCTTGTTTGCTTCTGTGTATTCGGCTTGTGCCTTAGTTTTCTCTGCTCTTGTTCGGCTTTTATTCGTTGCTGTCTTCTTGTTCTTCCTTTCTTCAATCTTGTCCAGGGTTTCTATGGAGATCCATTCCTTATGATGGTGCTTGTTGAGGCACAGAACCTCTTGTTACTCTGATGTGGCTGCTTCTTTCATGCTCTTTAAGTCAGTCGCCATAGTGACTTGCTTTTCTTTTTGAATAGCTCATTTAACACTTGGAACCTGTTGCTGAATTGTATCTCGTATTCGTTGAATTTTTCAGTATCTGTAAGGTCTGTATTCAACGTCAAGTTATCTAGTGTATCTTTAACTTCAGTCTCATCTTCTCAAACACTGTATGGTGATGTGAAACTACTTCAAATCCTCTCTTTGTTCTCACGCTTTTCACTGGCAGTCTGAATTTTTTTTGGTCCAAATATGCTCATTTTGGTTCGCTGTAGTGTGATCGGTGAGCCCGATGTAACCTCATGTATGTGTTGATGAGTGAAAATACTGCCTGGGTACATAAAGCTTCCCATATCTTTCATAGATTTTCCATCGATTGTGATTATGTTTGTGTTCTCCGTATTGTACTTCACGATCTTGGTTTCTCCCTTGTGTATGTTGAGGCTTATTCATGCAGACATTTCTGCTACACTGTTTGTCTTGACCTGGATTTGTTCGTGTATGTGTGATAAATGAGTCAGGTCATCTGTGAAGTTCAAGTCGTCCAACTGCATCCATGCTGTCCATTGTATTCCATGCTTACCCTCAGATGTCGTCTTCATGATCCAGTCAACCATCAGGCGAAATAGAAAGGGTGAGTGTAAGCAGCCTTGCTTGACTCCGGTCCTTACGTGGAATGCATTTGTCAGCTGTCCTCCATTTACGACTTTGCAGTGTAGTCCGTCATATGAATTCCTTATGATTATGACAGTCTTTTCATGTATACCATAGTGTCGAAGAAGGTTCCATAATGTCCTCTTATTCGCGCTGTCAAACGCCTTCCCATGGTCGAGGAGGTTGATGTGTAGTGACGGATTCCACTCAGTTGATTGCACAACAATGATCTACAGTATCACGATTTGGTCTGTGAACGACCGACCCTTACGGAATACAACCTGCTGATTTCGAAGTTGTGTGTCTACTGAATTTTTCATTCTGTTCAGCAACACTCATTTGAAAACATTTCCTCGTACTTACAGTAATGTGATGCCTCTATAGTTCTCACACTTGCTGAGATCTCATTTCTTTGTTATCTTGGTGAGTAATCCTTCTTTCCAGTCTGTTTGTACTTGTTCTTCCTCCTAAATCTTCTTCAAGAGAATGTGGAGCATGTTTGCAGTTACTTATATACCTAACTTCAGTTGTTCGACTGGTATGATATCTGATCCTGCTGCTATGTTATTCATAATATGTCTGGTAGCCTTGCTGATTTCTTCTGTTTTGGTCCAGTATCATTTGTAGAGTGAGTGCGCCGTTCCAATGTACGGTGGGGTTCGGTGGACGTCGTTCGCTTACAAGCTCGACAAAATACTCTACTCATCCAGTCTTATACCCTTGAGTCACGTTACATGGTTTGCAGTCTCCGTTCCTAAATTAGTCGCTCTGATCTACAATATTTCCATGCAAGCTTCTTCATCGTATTGTACCGTTCTTTCATATTTTCTTCACTTGAAGCTTTTTCTGCTGTCGTTAATAATTCTTTCACGTATTTCTACTTGTCGGCTTTAATGCTCTTCTTCACTTGCTTGTTTGCTTCTGTGTACTCAGCTTGTGCCTTGACTTTCTCTGCTTGTGTTTGGCTGTTGTTAATGGATATCTTCCTATTCTCCGCTTCTTGAATCTAGTCTAGGGTTCCTACAGAGATCAATTCCTTACGATGATGCTTCTTGAGGCCCAGAACCTCCTGGTATGTTGAGGTTAGTGCTTCTTTGATCCCTTTCCAATTGTCCTCCATGATGGATTACTCTTTTCTGAATAGATCTTGTAAGGCATGGAACCCGTTGTTGAGACTTATCTTGAATTCGTTGAGTTAGTCAGTATCTGTAGGAAAGTCTGTATAGAACCTTTACAATGCTGTTTCTCCAGTTGTCGAGTGCTTCTTTAGCTTCAAGTTCATCTTGGCCACAACCAGGTAGTGATCTGAAACTATATCAACTACTCTCTTTGCTCTTAAAACTTCTATGGATATTCTGAGATTTTCATTGATCCAAATATGCTCATTTTGGTTCGCTGTAGTGTGATCCGGTGAGCCCGATGTAACCTCATGTATGTGTTGATGAGTGAAAATACTGCTATGAATAACTGTGTTATTGAGAGCACATAGATTTGCCAGTCACTCAATGTTCTCGTTCTTCTCCCCAGTTTCAAATCACTCCATAATTCCTTTATACTGGGCGTTAACCATCTCAGATCTGGTATTCCGATTTCCTATCAGGATGTTCAGTTGCCTTCCTCGAAAGTTCTCTGCGATGAACCTCATCCTCATAAAACCGGTCTACATCATGTTCGCAGCTACGATTATTGAGTGCATAACATTGGATGCCATTCGTTGTGATCCCCTACTTGTTTGAAGAGCAGCAATCCAACTGGTTGGGTGTGCGTTTCATTTTCTACTTCATGATCAGAACACAATAGCACCTGCTCGGAATTTGATCTTTCTGTCGAACTTGCGTCCAATGTGTTCCACTTTTCCGAGCAGCGCTAAGTTGTGGCTTCTAATTTACTCACCCATTTGACTGATCCTTCCTGTCTCTCAAAATGTACGAACATTGCATGTACCTATGTTAGTTATTGCTCTGATTACTAGAAGGGACGTGCGCTCCAAGAAACGTCACAATTCTTCTATATGAAGACCCAGAAGAGATTTCAAATGTCCTAAATGTTTTTTTTATGATTTATGTTGTTTTTAGTAAACTCCAGGTGTATGACTGATGAGCCCATGCTGTTTTATTGTTAAACTACATTTCCCTTGTCAAATTTTTCTCAACCATTTCTGCTATCATTTTCGTTTCATCACTTCATTTCTTTTTTGACTTCCTGTCACTTCACAAATTACTTACTTACGCCTGTTACTCCTCGTGAAGGAGCATAGGCCGCTCACCAGCATTCTCCATCCAACCCTGTCCTGGGCAATCCTTTCAAGCTCTTTCCAGTTCTTATTCATCTTTTTCATATCGGATTCTATTTCCCGACGCAATGTGTTCTTTGGCCTTCCTCTTTTCCGCTTCCCTTCAGGATTCCAAGTTAGCGCTTGCCTCGTAATGCAGTTTGATGATTTCCTCAATGTATGTCCTATCCATTTCCATCGTCTTTTCCTAATTTCCTCTTCCGCTGGAAGCTGGTTGGTTCTCTCCCACAAAAGGCTGTTGCTGATGGTATCCGGCCAATGGATGTTGAGTATCATGCGTAGACAGCTATTAATAAATACCTGTACCTTCTTGATGGTGGTTGTTGTAGTTCTCCAAGTTTCAGCTCCGTACAGTAGAACTGCCTTGACGTTCGTATTGAAGATTCTGACTTTGATATTGGTTGAAAGTTGTTTTGAGTTCCATATGTTCTTCAGTTGAAGGAATGCCGCTCTAGCTTTGCCAATCCTCGCCTTGACGTCTGCATCTGAACCTCCTTGTTTATCGACGATGCTTCCCAGGTATGTGAAGGATTCCACGTCTTCCAGAGTTTCGCCATCAAGAGTGATTGAATTGCTGTTCTCCGTGTTGTGTTTGAGGACCTTGGTTTTCCCTTTGTGTATGTTGAGGCCTACTGATGTAAATTGAATCAATAGACATTTGCGCTAGATTGTATCTTATTTATTTGTGTTCTCGTTCAAGAATTTTTTTTCTACTTTAGTATGAATCAAACTAGTAATGTCTGTAGTCCAGTTCGATAAAACTATGTATCCTTTTTATTTCCACCTTTTTCTTAGTGATGAAGAAAGATGGTTTCGTAAGTCTCAACGTGAAAAAGGCGATTTCCGTGGTTGGTATTTCGTCCCAGTTAATCCAACTGGTGTTAATCGCTCATTTGAAAGACTCATGAAAGATCAAGAGGCTGCCCAACTAGTTAGTCGTTGATTAGAAAACTCACTTCAGACTAATACTTTGTATTATCTTTCATCTAAATGGAGTTTGTTTTAACCCTAGATCAAATGTTATGAAAAACTTCTTTTATTCATTCATTAGTAAAAGTTTTAATGTATTTACATGTTTTTGGCAATTAGTTCTTAATATCAAGTTCAGACTGGATAACTAAACTTTGATCGAAAGTTTATATTGTCACCTAGAATTCGGAGAATCATTTCGAGTTATAATAGTCCAACCATTCGTCTAAGTTTTGTCTTTCAAATATATATTAAAACAGGATAATCTATCTTCATAAAAACTTTTCAGTTGGTGATCATTTTAACACTAAAGAAGTTGGTAAACTCACTTCAATAAACTTAGAGCCTAACACAGACTGGTTGTGGTTCTAGAAGAAATATGCATTTAATAAGTAAAAAGTGTGTATATGCTACTGTGTTTTAGTGACTAAATGATTTAGAGTAAATACTAAGACGAGCACGTCGATTATATTAACTATTGATAAAATGTTTCTTTTTTACCGCGTAATGCGTTATTTCGAATTGAATTTAAGTACACGCTTTTAGTTTATAGATATTTACCACCACTTGGTAATCAGTTCACAAGCAACTAATATTCCATTTGTAGTAAAAACTATCTCAGTGTTTACTAGAATCTCTCGTATAAACCAAAGCTTTAGGATCTGTTAAATATGTATGGTTTTTCCGTCAGCTAAGGGGTATCGGATCTATGTGTTATGAATTGTTTCACTCCTGAAGACAACAGCCTTCGTGATATTTTTAATTATTACTTGGTCTGATGGTCCTAATTTAGGAGTCTGAGGATTAAAGAGAGCAAGAACAAAGATTGGTGCATAATAATATGAATTCATTTTATTTCATTAGGTTCTCACCAACTGCCTACAGCTTAAAATATTTGAAAATCAACTTTATTGCAGATATTGACATACTTATACATACGAGGGCAATTAAAGATGAATATCTGTATTATGATGTAGCGAAGATTTCAATAGAGTTAATAAGGTCATAAAGTTTTGTTTCGGATAAATAAAGTTTGGGAGGGAAAGATCCAGAACATTGAAATAGTGATTAGAACTCATGGAGTTAACAAACATTATATGATTGTGTAATGAAGCAACTGAAGACAGATTAATGGTAATAAAGAAAGTTATGAATTGAAATCAGTCAGTTACGAATTGAAGAAAAATAACAATGATATAATTTAAACTTTTGGGAGAGTTGAAATGATGAATGAAGTAATAAATAAGAAGGGTCTAATGTTACTAGGGCAAAGAAAGATTTATTAGTCTCTTTTTGGATACATAGATCTGGTTTTAGACATTTAATTGCTATCGCTTCGGCAAATTTCAAAAGATTAGAGTTTGATTGTTTGTTAATGACGTTGAAAGGCTTTAGTGTATCAACTTGATGTCCTGTGTCAAGGAGATGTCTTGCGATGGCACTGCTGAATGCTTTTAATCCATTTGATCTTAAACTTTTCGGAATATGTTCTTTGAATCGAACGTAGGCTCTCCTTTCTGTCCTACCAATGTAACTGCTGTGGCAGATGCATGTAAATTTGTATGCGCAGTTGGTTGTTACATGAAAGGGACACCTATCAACCTTTGTGTTATTCGAATTGTTGGGTAGCTACTGAGTGAACAGTTGAATATAATATTGGGTTATATTTTATATTAAATTACATTAAACCCAGTTCTTTTTAATTGTATTGTAACTTGGCTACCATGCACAAAAGCTTTACGGCCTAAGAACTGTACTTTTATTTATTTATTGGGATTTTGTATTTCGGTAAATTTCGTTTATTAGAAATGCTGAATCAAGAGAGGCTTTTAATCATTCAACCTATTCATATTATTTGAACTTAACTATTCTGTGTAGGTTTATCGGGTTCAAAAAAACTATTCTATTCATAAAACAAACATGAATATATTTTCGAATATTTAAGTAATTATCTCGAACATCTGGAAAAAGTCTAACTTATATTTGCATCCTCCTTATGTTTGCTTTGATATATGGAATGACTCACAGAATCTTTAGTAGTTTTTGTGCTCATGAAATGTTAACTAATTTGTTTGTTATTTACAGTTGTGTACGTATCGTCATGATTTTCACTATTTCTGAAGTTTATGCTTAACTTATCTGATTTAGAATAATAATGATAAAACTGGGTAAGATCAATTTTTTTATCCTTCTATTCCGCTATACGATATTTTTAAGTCATGAAACTTAAAAATCTTTTTCAATAAAATTTCCGAGTTATACAACTCTGAAAAATACTACTTAAAACCTTTGGTTAAATAATTCAAGGATATTGGAAAGAATAGTCTTCTAATTTAGATTGTTTTCAGTTTCTGTAAGTGTAAGTTCTACGGAGATTAATTTTTTTTACAGTAGTGAAAGGGTTACAGTTATGAAAGGTAAATGTTCACACGTTATATTATTGGTAGATATTTTAAGAAGTATCATATGGTTAACAGTTTTTACCTCTATTTTTGCTATATGAAGCATCCACGAACTGCAGATTATTATTTTTTATTCAAAATAGATGTAAAAAGATCTGAAGCAATTTTCTAACGTTTTTGCAAGCAGCTTCACCGACGTTTGCATTATTATCATTATCAATCAATCTCTCCGTACGTTTACATACGAAACAATCTTGATCAACAACCTTTATGGAAAAAATTGAATCACTTCTAATTTACTGAATTTAAAAACAGTAAAAACTAAAAAAACAGACTAAAGAGAGAGAGACTAATTTATTGAGAAACAAGTGCATGTGTCTTTACATTACAGATACTTAACTGATTAATAATAACATATTTCGTCGGGGTCTCGATCTTATTTCCAATAGGCATCATTTTTCGTAAATTCAGTACTGTATGTTTGAAATATAACAAATACTATGCACTACTTAAGGATTTAAACCAGGAGAAAAACAGTGTCTTTCGTTAGTTTTTTTCTCAAATCGTATCAGTTCATAGTTAAAAAATATATTTACCTTACCCAAATGCCTGGAACACTGTTGTTAAGGAATAGATTCCATGATTTAGTTTTTTAAAAAGCAGATCATATTTGTATCATAATTTAACACCAGTCTTTAACAGTGAAAGCCTCTAAACATATGGGTTAGAACTCTGACTTTCGAAACTGTGACCAGCATCTCAGAGAATAAATGTCAGTTGAAATAAACGAATTATTTGTAATTAGAAGTGACAACTGTTGCTTATTATGAATAAAATTTGCGGTGTACAATTGTTTAGGTACACTTAACATTCTCAGGTGATTTCAGTGCACTTACTTAACAAACTGTTACTTTCCTCAATAATTTCTGTTACTCATAGGTGACTTTAAGCTTAGTTAGATTCTTGAAACTTCCATCTTTACCAGCCGACATTTATCGAAGTTCTAAACTTCGTCGTGCATCCTAGTTTAGTTGGATACATACCATAAACTCAGCTAACTTGGTTTGGAATTTGATTTTTCATTAGATAACTGCTGATGATTATTGTTGGAATATTTTCGATCACACGAATGTACTTTTATTTTTATAGAGTTCCCATCGTTGGATTATTACAAAAACCAACGGGGATTATTTCTTAAGATTAATCTGTTAGTAGTCCAAGGCGAAAAAATATAATTCCAGGTAACCGGATCTACTTGTGGAGTTGGTCCGTAATCATGCGGTTTCTGGTGTATACGGGATCTTATTTTCACTTTTGAAATCTAGTATTTTTAGTGTCTTAAAACCCCTTACAAATAGGGTTTTATTCTTTCTATGTGTTTATTTCTACGTTTCTATTTGTAAGATTTCGGAAAACAACCAAACTTGAAAGTGGTGATAGTTAATTATCTAACACTAGAGTGGCGAAATCATGATGTAAGTTAGCTGCCTGAAAATGTTAGCGAAACAATGTCCTATGGTTTTAAAATCTGAGATGCATTTTTTATTATGACAGCATACATGACTCAGAAACATGGTAGTTTACCACATGACAACAAAGGATGAATCCAATAGTAATTATTTTAAATAATATTCCTATGATAAGGTTCTCATGAAGTGTGACCTAATAAAATACATTGAAAAAATGGGATAGTCTATAATTTAGGGAGGAAGAATGTATTTGTAAAATTTCAGCGAATAAATTGAAGTAAATCCAACGTTTCCATCACTATTTTGTCTACATCCAGATTCTTGGGGTTGTTTCCAATCTCGTACAAGTAGGTACAGACTACCTGGTTGGGGTCCACGTGATTATCGTAACCAATAGTTGGGGGCTTTGAATGACATGGCTCAAAATCGTTTGCAATGGTGCAGGTGTATCCATTCTTTATCTTCCCTCGAATCTTGAGATTCTGAATTCCCTAAATTTTTTATTGCACTAATATTTTCTTCTCGAATCGTATCTTCTATCCCGAATCCTTTTTTATTAGCACTGATACTGATACTACCTTTACTATTCTGGGACTTAGCCTAACCATTTCATCTCTCTGTGTTTATGGGGTATGACAACTTGAACCTATGTACATTCGTACGGGTTCTACTTTGTGAATGACTGACCATCTGACAGTTCAACTGGCTTATGGTTACCCTCTACCACTAAAAAACCTTCATGGCACATTGACGGAAGTCCCTCAACTATTAATGAATTTGAAAAGCCTAAAGGTAATTCAAAATTGTGGATAACAGACTGTCCTTATCGATTGACGCAAAAGATGATGAAGGAGTGTGATCCAGTTTTAACTGTTAAACTGACTGAGATATTAGGTAGAATCTGGAATATGAACTCAATCCCATCTAACTGATCTCAATCGTTGGTCGTTCCAGTTTCTAAGAAAGGAAAAAGAATCCTCTTGTAACTATCACGGAGGATTTAGTTTGACTAAAATAAATATTAACCTTCATGACCATCGGACGCCTAACTAGGGTCTGCGAAGAGTGAATATGGGAAAACCAAGGTTGTTTGAGACCTGGACATGGTTGTATTAACCAAATATTCACCACTCTGGCAGCACGAAGAAAAGAAGAGAAATACCTAAAGGAAGTATTTCAAAAGAATGGTTACCCAGTCAACTTCATCAAAAAATACCAACTACATGCAGCATCAGAGCACAAAAATCAACAAACGGATCACCCTACCATACATACATGGCATATCAGAAACCGCAACAAGACTGCTAAAAACCTTCGGGATAGGTGTGGCACACAAACCGACAAAATCAATACAATCAATCCTATGCAAACCAAAGGATGAAATAACAAAAGAAGATAAATCGAACATCATCTACAAAATAAATTGTGTCAACTGCGACAAACACTACATCGGACAAAGCGGACGCCCCCTTCACATGCGCTTACATGAACATCAATTAGCAGTCAAACGGCATGATATCTCCTCACTTATATCAATACACGTGGACAACTGCGGACACACATTCGATTGGAAAAATGTGGAAATCGTGGACAGAGGAAATTCTAAAAACACAAGAGAATTTTTAGAAGCCTGGCACTCAGATCAATCAGCAATCAACAAGCATATTGAAATCGATCCGATTTATCAACCAATCAGGAAACTTATGCACAAATATAGGAACAAGAATCAAACCAATAGGAGACAAAACCAAGACAAAAAGGTAAACAATGACAAATTTAAGGTCAATAAGAACCAATCAACATCGAGGTGCACAGAACAAGCTGTGAAACGCATATGGAGAAATTCGAACACTTCACTTCTATCTGAAGTTTGTGCTGATGATGTCGTTCAGAAGAACGATGAAAGCTCCACGACCAAACCATCCAGCTCAGAGAACAAAACTCCATCAAAAACCGTTCTTCAGTTTTGAGAACAGTAGATATCCTGACTTCAGAATATAGTTGCACTCTTTATCTTCCTCTCGATCTTGAATTTCAGTATTCATTCATACATTCTTTTTTTCTTTGTCTTTTAGAACCATATTCCCAAGGTTTAGTCTTTGTTTTTATGGTTACTACCATAATATTTCAAACTCTTGTTTTCTGTTCATTTCATCGTATTAATGTCATATTGTCAACTTAGGTCAACGCACGTTTGCCCCATGCTTTATGTTGATGATTTTTGTCTGTCTGATTGAAAGTGATTAATATAGATGTAGCACAATAAGGAAATACATAACAAATATTTCAACCTAAACGTTTTTCATTAAATTGATTTTATTTCTAAAAGCTATACAATCGTATTTACATCAAATAGACATATTTCTTCATGAAACCAATGGAAATTTCATTTTACTTCATAAAAAGAAAAAAATTGAGTGAATACTTCAAGAATTTTGTTTTTAAAGGTTTTTCAATTAATCAACAAATATCATACACATAGTTCCCTTTATTATTAAAAACAAAGATTCCAGCAGAATAGCATGAATTCATGTAAGTAATTTAAACCTATTATGTAATTATAATTTTAATTATCACAAGTTGTAAGCAGCTGATGAGAACCTACGAAATAAAAATGAATTCATTCTATTCTGCTAAAATCTTTGTTCTTTTTTTATTTTTAAAATCAACAAATAATCTTGAGATTTAACAGCTAATAATGTAACCTTTAACTTCATATTTCACATACTAAGATGTATGTAAATAAATGAAGCACATTAAAAATAGAATGCTTTACTTGTAATAATTCACACTACTGTAGTACTTTTTTTTCAAAGACTACCAATAATTATTTTTATTGATAACTAAAATCTTATTCATCTAAATAGTTGAATGTAATAAAAATATACATCAGAACATAATAGTCCTTAGAATAAACTTCCATTTGTTGAGAACAAAATTAAAGACATTTTCGTAGTGATAGTAGATGAAGAGTTCAAATCAATAATAAGTGGATTACAAGTGTAAGTATTTACTTTAAATGTTAACCAATAAATTGTGATAAAAATAAATTAAATACAGTAAATAATACAGTTTTATGTTTCACATATATAGGATGAATAAAATATAGCATACATTTATACTTCAGTTTTATAAGGTTAATAACCTATCTTTATAGGGTGAATAACTCCAGTACCATTCATAGTCGTTGTTTAAATAATGTAAAACTTTTTCAGTGTCATTTCTCATAAAGAAATTGTGGATACGCACTGCTGAGGAGTCTCACAGTGAGACGAAACGGCCGTTCAGTGCTTCCAGGTTTTTCATGTTGGTCTAGCTTCAATTGACTCACGATTTCAACTATTAAAATTATTATTTATTTAAATTAAATATAATTTACACAATACCATAGAGTATAAATGACAGGAATACCTTTTTTTTGTAAAATAAGTATACCAAAAATCTAAGTTACTGTACAATGAAAATTTTGTTTGAAATAATTAACTTACGCTGATTTTCATCCGATCTATGCATTTCATGTAATTGGTTCCCTTTATGAATCAAGCCAGAACAACAAGTGAAATAAAATGATATAAATTCATTATATTTCGTAATTTCGCATCAGCCGCTTACAACTGTATACGTGTTCAAGTATAACATTGAGTGAATCAAAGTTGATGACGGAAGGAATTCGAGTAACAATGATTTTAAGTTATAACCTTATTAAATCTGTTCACAAGAAGTTGTGAGGTCATTTGAACATGGAATTCAAAAACATGGGAGGGGAATGTGACTGATCAAATCAAACCCGGAAATAGATAAGATTTATTACATGGTAGTTAATGTAAACATATTTTTCATAATGCACAATGCAAACAGCAATAGTATTCGTAGTAAACTATTATATTTATCATTTATGTTATGCTTTAAACAAATTTCATGATTTAGTCATATATACAGTGAATTCTAAATATACAGGATAATTTTTTCTCGAAGATTTCATCCTGTCATAGTAAAACTGAATAATGGAAAACTCTCCGAAAAAGATTTAACCAATAGTATGCTTTAATTTCAGTGTCCAATCACAACAGATTAAGATTAAATTCCATTTGAATACTGAAATGTTTTCATTATCTAGTAATTGTTAAATGAAATATCCAATAATTTAGCTATCAAATGATGAAAGCTTAATCCATTTTCAAAATATAATAGATAAAATATCTTAGTATTCATTTATCACATATGTCACTTAACAAATTATATTTCACTAAGAAAATAAAAAAGTATTCTCACTTTCAACAAACATTTACCGTGGATACTTAAAGTTCACTAACTTGATTGTATATGTATCTCAACTAAACGCTAATCAATTATTTAAAATGTAAAACAATACGTTAGTAGTTCCAACATAATTGGAAATATTAAAAATACTTAGCTTCTAATGTTGACGTGGTGTTTTACATAAAAGTAATTAAATAACAATGAAAAAGATGTTTTTCTAGAAAAATAGAATCAATTACACCCTAGTTTAGTAGCCCTATATCTGACTCCAGTTAGATAGTTTTTGAATGCTATCGAAATATACATTTCGCCAGTCCTCTCATATAATTATCGACTTGACTCGCGTTACTAAATGATGGAATTAAATAAATCAAATACGAGAATGGAGTTTGAATACTCATGTTTCATACAATTATTGATCGGAACAGACAATCAGAGAATCACAGCAAAGGAAGCGAAGAGGAGAAATTGAAGCAAAACGAAAGGACACACAGTGGAGAAGGTGAGTTAGCCAAATCAATTTAACCAAGTGTGAATCAATATTTATAGTCAGATAAAAATAACTTACAGACATATGATATATAAGATAAGCAATACATGCACACATGATCATATAAAAAACACTCAGGATTAATAAGCAATAAATGACAAGGTCAAAATGTAACTCTAAAAGAATGGCTGAATTGGTTTATTCAGAAGCTCGAATAAGTTATAATGGTTCAACATAGTACCAGCCACTATAGATTAATTCAAATGACTTTATTAATGATTAACTTTATTCATTAATTTTAAAGATATTACAAGTTGTTGAATCAGCATTCATTAAATTGGCATGAAAATTAATATGATATAATCAATAATATGCGTAAATAATTAAAAATTAAATAGAAAAGTGCAACTTATCCGTATTCTATAATACTATACTATAAATTATTACATCATAAAATAATATTCAATAGTTCATATTTATTCATTCAATATATATATTAACACATTAATTACCCATTTTAAACTTTTCTCTGGATCTACTACTGTCTATTTTATCAATATATATTTTATACATTAGAACAAAGGAAAACAAACAAACAAATTCCTACATTAAGACACATGAAAATTCGATTATTATCAATTATAACAGTCATTGTACAATACATTCCATCCATCTTATCAGCTACTTTGGATAATCAAAAGGAAAGTTCATCATCTTATTATTATGTGGTACGTTCACCAAAAATTGAAAAACGATCATATACAGAAGATGAAACCTTGACACATAATAAAGAAAAAACAAAAATTGCTACTGCTACTCAAACATATACAAAAACATCAAATATATCCTCTTCACCTTTGTCTCCAACATCATTATCATTAATATCGTCATCATCATCTTATGGTAATAATGTAAAAAAGAATAATGGTGCATACAATGTTAAACCTAATGTAACTATGAGTGCAGAAAGTATATATCAAGATAAAAATTCATTAAAATATGTGAAAACTGTAAAAAATCGTCGAGAAATCAGTGAAGTTATTAAACATATACCAAAACCAACATATAATCAACAATCGAATAAATATACTGATCAGAATAATAAAATTAATAATTATAATGATAAAAAGGAAACAAAGAATTACAATAATGTTAATAAGAAATACACTTATTCTGATAGTAGTAGTAATAGTAATCATAACAATCGTCACAATGATAAAAACTACAATAATGATAATAATAAAAATTATAACGGTAATAATAACCACAACAGTAATGACAATTACAATGGTAATAATAACGGTTATTACAACAATGGCAATAACTACAAACGTAATGACAATTACAATAACAATGACAATAATTACAATGGTGATAATAACGATTATTACAACAATGGTAATAACTACAAACGTAATGACAATTACAATAACAATGACAATAATTACAATGGTGATAATAACGATTATTACAACAATGGCAATAACTACAACAGTAATGGCAAAGATGATAATAATAACGACTACTATTCACATGATTACATCATAAACGCTGACAGTTACAATAATGATGTAAAATATAATGCTGAAAATTACAATCGTGATTATACACGCAGTGCTTATATATCTGACAATAATGACCGTAGGAATAATCGAAACTCCAATATAAATTACATGATTAAAAATACTAAATTTAACAATTATGCCAATAGATATAATGGTAGGCAAAGAAATAATAAAAGATATAATAATAATAATAATAATAATAATTACAACAAAGCCTATAATAACCAAAGACGCTATAACGAAAATCGTAATATCGGGAACAATAACAATTACAATCGTAACGGTAATCAAAACAATCAGAATGGTTATCGTACTTACAAGTACAACTACAATGGTAATAATAATAATGACCGGAATAATTTCAATGGCAAATCTAATTACAATTACAATAATGATCGTAATAACCACAATAACAAACGGAATAATCACTATGTCAATTATAATATCAATAACAATGACGCTTACAATGGATATGATAATCACAAAACCAATAACCATAATCATCCTGCACGTAATATACCCTATCAAAATAACAATAGATATAATAACATTAGAAATTATGGGAATACTGATAATAGTAATAATAATTATCATGATATGTACAATACTAATGATTATGAAACTAACAGAAATCCTGTTAATTACGATAGTAGTTATATTAGAAGTAAATTAGGTAAACCAGATTATTATACTCCTGCAGAAGGAAGTAATGAACAAAATTATCCATCAATGCCAAGTACAGAGAATGAACAACCAAACAATCAGGAAAGTAATCAATATGGGAAAGAAAAAGAGAAAGATACAGATTTTAATCCAGAAGGACAAGATCTTAATCCCATGTCCAGTTTAAATCCTTTTGGTACTATGTTCGGTTTGGGACAAATGGGAAATGGAGGATTAGGTTTTTAAATTTTATGCCAACTAAATGATTAACAATTACTCAAATTCATGGATATATTGTAACAAAAATATGTTTTATTTTCAAAATCTCTTTTTTCAACCGATCTAATATAAAAAGTCGATAAAAGCTTATTTATTAAGCTAGATTTCTCTAGTCAAAATGACTTAATATTTGTAATTTAATGTCATCTTTGTATGTTTATCATGTTTTTTTCTAAGATCTGAAATAGAAGTATGAACTGCCTTGATGATTTGAACACATTTCCCTCAATTAATTCATCATTGATTTATAATTATGAAAAAGAATTTGAAATGATACGTGTTAAAAAACCACCCAAATTTATGTTTGGTCTTTTGAACACTCATGAGCCCCCAAATGCCCTGGTATGGCCAAGAGTGGGGTGGGTTCGCCCTCCCTCTCGAAATACTCTCACACGACCACGAGTATACAGACTCTGCCAGGGAAGTCCTACTCATCGCCTTCTCGTGGCGGGGTTGTTGTCTACGAAAATGGGAGGACGAAAAGCGAATATCCGGCGCTTTAACCGGATCCCAAATCAATGGTGCACATGGGCTCCAGTGTCCTGAAGGAACAAATGGCGTATGAACCAGTTTCTTGGTCACCGGCTTCCATGGGACTGCATCTCCTCACGATGCTCCACTGCCTTGTGTTATAACGTGTGATCCGCCTATTAGAGAGCAGCCTATTATCGATCGAAACAGTGACGCACAAAATACTTGCGAGCAATCTAGAGCTCTGATTGGTCCTGCTTCCCTGTCTAGCCCAGCCAATTGAGTCCAGAACACAAGTCTCAGCCTCGGAGATATGAATCGTTATATTTCAAACATACACTGTTTATATACCAAACAAAACAGACTACATCGTACCATAAATAGAAAGTAACATTTGTACAAGATTTGACCTTCAGGAAATGACACAAATAAATATTGACCAATAAGGAGATGACACGCTGGAAGAATGTTGACCAATGGGGAAATGACACTACTTCTCATTCAGGAATAGCATTAGATAATTTCTGGGGTATTTTCTGAATACCCCAACACCTCCCCTTCTTTGAAGAGCCGAACCTGATATCCGGAATATAAGTTTCTCGGGTCCATCCTCCCCCACGAAACAATGTTGGGTCCTCATATACCCAAAATACAATTGATCTGACTTTAATTAAAATATATTTGTCGCAGCGCACAAGAAATCGACTGAGCATGACTAAGTGGTGAGGGTTAACGACGTTTGACATGAGGTCATCGAGTTTTGATTCTTCGGAATATTATCATCAAATTTATCAAGAATATCACTAGTAGATAGTGGATCGCTATGATAATCAGCGTCCATCAAAACTGAATCAGGTTCTTGATTATTATTTGACACATATGACATATTTTCTGGCAAATCAAGGGAATCGCGATTAGATTCGTCAGGAACTTCTATCGAGGAATGATGAGCTTCATTTGGTGCAGCTGCATTCAGTGTACTGCACGATTTGTTTTCTGTTTCATGGGCGGTTACTGCGACACTTACAAGAACATTTAGCAGGCGACCTTTTGTGAGCTGGATACATCACTGTCTGTACATGCTGTTTCAAGGATAATGGAGTTTGGATCCATTACTGGGTATGTTTTTGGAGTGGACATTTCTGGATCACTGGGCGGATCATGAATGACTGCTTCACTTACATTACTGCTCATCAAGGATTCATAGAGGCTTTTATCAACACATTCGTATGTTCTGCAGTCAATTTCCAGCTCCGTATGCAAATTAGAAATTAATTTATGAACTTCCGTAACATCTCCAAAATAATGGATGATTTAGCAGCCGTGTACGTAAATTGTCTAAAACATTCAGCTGGCTATTTTTGAACCGCTGCGTTTGTCGCTCAAATAGCAATTGTAATTGATCGGGACAGATAGCCATTTCCTGAATCAGCACGTGATGAGAAATGTTGTATGATTAATTAACGACCAATGTCTTTCAAGGACGCCGATGACAAAACTGAATGTTGATTGCTCAAAATAATTAGACTGAATCTAGTCCAATTACAGGTCAACGTTGAAGATTGAGGGTTCAGAAATTTTTTTCTACCCCGTCGCCAATTGTTATAACGTGTGATCCGCCTATTAGAGAGCAGCCTATTATCGATCGAAACAGTGACGCACAAAATACTTGCGAGCAATCTAGAGCTCTGATTGGTCCTGCTTCCCTGTCTAGCCCAGCCAATTGAGTCCAGAACACAAGTCTCAGCCTCGGAGATATGAATCGTTATATTTCAAACATACACTGTTTATATACCAAACAAAACAGACTACATCGTACCATAAATAGAAAGTAACATTTGTACAAGATTTGACCTTCAGGAAATGACACAAATAAATATTGACCAATAAGGAGATGACACGCTGGAAGAATGTTGACCAATGGGGAAATGACACTACTTCTCATTCAGGAATAGCATTAGATAATTTCTGGGGTATTTTCTGAATACCCCAACACCTTGTGGACTAGACCTTTTGGGCAAAGGCTCGGGGTGTGGCCCCCGAAGAAAACCACCTGCCTCGGTCTGGGCACCCGGGCAGTATCTCAGCCCACGCACAAAAACATTATGAACTGTCTACTTATGGAAAATATTCTTTTCGCCCCGATTAACAATCAAATGACTCGCATTATTATTATTACTACTACTATTGTTACTATTATTATTATTATTATTATTATTATTATTATTATTATTATTATTATTTACTACGTCATTTATTCACTCTCTTTTTTTCCCACTCTGTCTATCCTTATTTTTCGACTTATACAGCAGCTCGCCTATGGTGGAAATTCGGCTCTATCTAGATGTTCTCGAGTCACTGACTGCCTGAAAATTGAATGCTCCCACCAAATACGAATACTGAAGCAGTTTTCTTGAAACCACGTTTACCATTCAAACTGGCTGCCTTCAACGTTCGCACACTTGTGCAGGTCGGACAACAGATAGGGCTGGCTATGTCTTTGGAAAGTCTTAATATTGACGTTTGTTGTCCATCCGAGACCCGTATTCAAGACTCTGGTGAAGTACTACAAATTCGCTCTCCACCTATCACTTCAAAAAGCTTGTTTTACGTGCGTTTATCCGGGGACCCTGTGGCATCTTCGTCTGGTCTTGCTGGCGTTGGTGTCGTACTAAGCGCTAGAGCTGAGGCAGCACTAATCGGTTGGATCCCCATTAACAGTCGATTATGTGCTGTTAGATTAGAAAGTCCCATCAATGTGAGGAGAAATCGGCGTGAGAAACGATGTCTTTTGGTCATCTCCGCCTATGCCCCGACAGATTGCAGTCCGGATGCAATCAAGGATGAATTCTACCACCAGTTAACTGTTCTCCAGGAAGTGCGTTCGACAGATATTGTAGTACTAGCTGGAGACTTGAATGCTCAGGTCGAGCGTCTAGGCACAGAAGCGAGTCGTTTAGGTGGCCGATGGGGACTTGTTGGTCTCAGGACAGATAACGGGGAACGTCTACTACAACTATGCACAGACCACAACCTGTTTCTGGCTAGCACTAACTGGCGTCCCCCTTCTGCATCTCAAGCCTGGACTCAAATTGATCACATCGCGATCAGCTACCGCTGGCGTGGTTGTGTACGAGACTGCCGCTCCTTTTGGAGTACCTATCTGGAATCTGACCATGCCCTGCTCTGCGCCAATCTTACCTTACTTTTCAGTGGACAACGAAGTGACCGCCACCAAAGGATTGATGTTAGCAAGCTGGCTGCAACTTCTGTTGTTAGTAAGTACCGAACCGAGCTAGCTTCTAGGCTAGCTACCATTCCACCGGAAAGTATGAATGAGCATTGGTTGCAATTACATGATGCCATGAAAATGGCGGGTCAAGTCTGTTGTGGGTTCGCGAAACGTCCCGCTTATAAGCACTGGGTTTCTTCTGGTTCCTTACAACTGATTGAAGCCCGTCGGTCTACACCGGGTGACCGTGAGTTTGACCACAGACGAAGGATGCTACGTAATGAAATCGGGCAGAGCTTGCGTAAGGACCGAGAAGCCTGGTGGTCGGAGCGTGCTATTGAGCTGGAAGCAGCAGCTGCATCTGGTAATTACCGGAAGCTCTTCCAACTCATCCGAGCCACTAGCAGCAAGAGGTCTGATGTGAGCGAAACAATCTACGAGGATGACGGAACGCCAATCACTAACATCCATTGACGTCTTGGACGATGGACAGAATTCTTTGAAGGGCAGTTCAACTGGCCTGCTGCTCCAGCAACATCGGTCACACTGTCCTGCCCTCCATGGCCGGTGACGACTGATCCACCAAATGAGGCGGAAGTCCGCAAGGAACTCCAACTCTTGAAACGTTACAAATCACCGGGCCCAGACGACTTACTTCCGGCTCTTTTTAAAGATGGTGGTGACTTTTTGACTAAGGGACTGACGACGTTGTTTACAAAGGTCTGGGAACTAGAAAGTGTACCAACGTCATGGAATGAGTCAATAGTTGTCCCTATCTTTAAAAAGGGTTCACGTCGTTCCTGTAACAACTATCGGGGGATAAGTCTACTTCCGGTTTCACCCAGGCTATTGGCTTCCGTTATACTTCGTAGGTTGTTCAAAACCCGAGAAGGATTGACCCTTGATTGTACCTTTTCGTTCCCCCCATTATTACTACTATTACACTACCTTACACTAATCTGATCGTTATTGTTCTCCTTTTTTTTATTATTCCTTACATTCCTTACTTTTTTTTCCCTTTTCTTTAAATTCTCATTGTTTTGTGTGGCGCATGTATATTTGATGCCCCTTTGTACCAATATTCATGTGTTCAAATAAATAAACGCTTATGAAATATATATATATATATATATATATATATATATATATATATATATATAACCAAAAAATAATTACTACCTAAGAATCTATGCCTGTAAACCCTTGCGGAACAACACAGGCCTTCTTTCTAGTCTCTTTCAAGTGCTATTCATGCTTTTGAAATCTACATGTGTTTTTAGGCTTACTCCTTGAAGATTTCAAGTTGGGACTTGCCTTGTGATGCAGTGATTTCCAGTGATTTTCGCAATGTAATTTCTATCCACTTCCATCGTCTTTTCATAATTTCCTATTCAAGTGAAAGCTGATTTGTTCTCTACCAATGTAGGTTATTGCTGATGGTATCCGACCAACAGATATTAAGTAATTTGCATAAACAACTGTTATAAATACCTATACTTTCTTGATGGTGGTTGTAGTAGCTCAGCAAGTTTCACCCTAGTACAATAGAACTGTCTTGAAGTTTG